AATGCTATGGGGGATATGGAAATAATAAATACAAGTGACAAATCGACCGAGGATTATTACATAAAAGCAATGCCTCTTACACATTCCATTTTTTCTCACCTTTTCATCCCCAGCATAGTAGATCATATGAATCATCTGATTTAAAATGTCCCACGCCAAGCCATCTCACTTTACCAATACCTAGTGTGTCAATATTTATGCGTTCCATTTCTTTTTTAACAACGTCCAATTTTCCTACATTCATGCTTCTCACATTCCACGTTCCAATCACTAGTGTCTGCTTACAGCTGTTCTTCCTTCTTTGTGTTTCCATATCTGAGGTCTCAGCCTCAATTGCCATGTCTGCTAGTCTTAGTGTGCTCTATTGTTTTCGAAGACCTGCTATTTTGAAGTGGATGGCCAATCCTTCTTCCTAGTCTGTCTTAATTTTTTTTATATAATAGTATCTGACAGACAAGCATTTTATAGAAAGGAGTAAATGAAAGACATTTATTCATTAGAGAAATGACTGATAGATTCAGTGTTGCTACCTACCCCTACCACGTGTGTCTTGACCCACCCTTTCCCAACTCCACCAGCATCCCCTTCTCCTTCTGCCTACACCATACAACACATCACTACCCTTAACCAGCCCTGGATATGATGTCTAATGGGGTTGCTTACATAATAAAAAAATCATTTCTAGATCCATCATGAAATACAATGTGGTGAGTGACAGGATAATATCCATACACGTACAAGGAAGTCCAGTGAATAGTACTATCATTCAAGTATATGCACTGACAACTAGAGCCAAAGAGGAGGAAATGGAAGATTTCTACCAACTTCTGCAGTCAGAAATCGATCAAACACACAATCAAAATGTATTAATAATAATGGGTGACTGGAATGCAAAAGTTGGGAACAGAAAGGAAGGATCAGTAGTTAGAAAACATAGATTTGGTGACAGAAATGAAGCTGGAGATAGAACTATAGAATTCTGCACAATGACTTATTCATTGCAAATATGTTTTATAAGAAACATAAATGTAGGCTATACACATGGTTTTTACCCGATTATATGCATAGAAATCAGTTTGATTACATCTGTGGAAAGAATCACTGGAGAAGCTCAATGTCAGCTGTGAAAACCAGGCCAGGTACTGATTGTGGAACAGACCACCAACTACTCATATGCAAGTTCAAGCTGAAGCTAAGGAAAATTAAATCAAGTCCATGGGAACCAAAATTTGACCTTGAGTCTATCCCACCTGAATTTCAAAACCATCTCAGGAACAGGGTTGAGGCCTTGAACACCAATGAACCAAGGCCAAATGAGCTGTAGGAGGATATCAAGAATATCATCCATGAAGAATACAAAAGATCATTACAAAGACAGAAGAGGAAGAAAAGATCAAGATGGATGTCAGAAGAGACTCTAAATATTGTATTAGAGTTCTGAGAAGCCAAAGCTAAAGGAAAAAAAAATCAAGAAATTAAAGAGGTGAACAGAAAATTTCAAAGGGCAGCTCGGGATGACAAAGAAAGCTATTATAATGAAATGGGCAAAGAGCTGGAGTCAGAAAATCAAAAGGGCCGAACTTGCTCAGCATTTCTTAAGCTGAAGGAATTGAAAAACAAATTCAAGCCATGAGTGGCAATACTTAAGGATGCTTTGGGAAGAATGTTAAATGATCCAAGAAGCAGTAAAAGAAGATGAAAGGAGTATACAGAGTAGGAATGGGCTGACACCAAAGAATTTCATGAAATAATGTATGAGCAACAGCCTGTGGCGATGAGGGAGGAAGGTCAGGCTTCTCTGAAAGAATTTGCAAAAAACAAGGCTCCAGGAGTTGACGGCATACCAACTGACATATTTCAACAAACAGACACTGCCCTGGATGTGCTAGCTAAGTTGTGCCAATAAATCTGGAGGACAGCCAGCTGGCCAACTGACTGGAAGAGGTCAATATTTGTTCCCATTCCAAAGAAAGGTGACCCAACAGAGTGCGGAAATTATTGAACAATATCATTAACATCACACGCAAGCAAGATTCTGCTGAAAATTATCCAGAAATGACTGGAGCAACACTTCAACAGAGAACTTCCAGATGTGCAGGCTGGATTTAGAAGAGGTCGTGGTACTAGGAATATTATAGCTTATGTTAGACGGCTCTTGGCAGAAAGCAGAGAGTACCAGAGGAATGTCTATCTGTGCTTCATTGACTATGCAAAGGTTTTTGACTGTGTGGATCACAACAAGTTGTGGCTGACTAAGAAAAGAATGGGAATCCCAGAACATTTGATTGTGCTTATGTGAAACCTATACTTGGACTAAGAGGCAGTTGTCAGAAGAGAGCAAGGAGACACTGCACGTTTTAAAATTGAGAAGGTGGTCCGCCAGGGATGTATTCTGTCTCCATACCTTTTCAATCTGTATGCAGAACAGATTAGCTGGGATGCTGGGCTATGTGAGGAGGAATGTGGCATCAGAATTAGAGGAAGATGCATCAACAACCTGTGTTATGCAGATGACACAATGCTGCTTGTGGAAACTGAGGAGAACCTGAAGTGCTTGCTGAAGAAGGTCAAGGACTACAGCCTTCAATATGCATTGAAGCTCAACAGCAAGAAAACAAAGATTCTCACCAATGGGCCAGTTGGCAGCATCAGGATGGATGGTGAAGAGACTGAGATTGTTCACAGCTTTAGTTTACTTGGTTCCACAGTCAACACTCGTGGTAACAGCTGCCAGGAAATCAAGAGATGAATTGCATTGGTAAAGTCAGCTGTCAGGGACCTCTCAAGAATACTGAAGAGCAACAATGTCAGGCTGGAGACTAAGGTGAGCCTGATCAGGGCTATAGTCTTTACAATTGCAAGCTATGCATTGGAGAGCTGGACAATGACTAAGGATGATAGAAAGACAACTGATGCCTTTGAGCTGTGGTGCTGGAGAAGAGTGTTGTATATACCATGGACTGCTAGAAGAACAAACAGATTTGTCCTGGAGAAGGTGAAGTCGGAATGCTCCTTGGAGTCAAGGATTCTGAGAGGGACATCATGTTTGGCAGAGTGGAGGGACGGTGCAGGAGAGGAAGACCTTCGACGAGATGGATCAATTCTGTGACTGGAGTGGTGGGAATGAATGCTTTTAAGATGGCTAGGTTGACACATGATAGAACGGCATATAGAGCTGTTGACTCGATGGCACATAACAACAACAACAACAACATATAACAGAGGGTAACTTAAGTTTTGCACATTCACTGGTGCAGGGCTTGGCAAATTGTGGGCTAGATCTACCTGGGTTCAAGGTAAATATATAGGTTCATTGAAATACGTTGTTGTGTACCGCAGAGTCAGAACCGACCCTAGCTGACCTTCCTCTGGGTTTTCAGAGGCAGTTAATTGCATGGGAGGAGACTGTTCATCTTTCTCCAGATGAACAGCTGGTGGCCTCGAACCGTGTGCCTTGGGGATTGCAGTGCAGCTTCTTACCAGCAAGTCTATTTGTTTATAGATTTCTTTCTGAATGTTTTTGCTCTACAATGGCAGTTGATTAGTTGTGATAGAAAATAGAGTATTTACTATCAGGCCCTTTCCCAAAATATTTGCCAATCTCTGCACTAGAAGGATCTGGTCCAGAACACCCTTTCCATTCTGTCCACTCTGGGTTCCTATCTGCGCACTCCCTGCAAGCTAGAAGAATAAGCTCTCATTTGATAGCCTATTAGGCCTACTTCCCAGCGGTTTGAAGAGCAGGAAGTGCACTGCTGACACGTGCTAATCCTCTCCCTCCCTCTTTATTTTTAATTCTCTGTCCTCTCTGCTTTTCCTTTGTCCGTGTTCACTTTTCTCCTCATTGCTAAGTTTTCAATTAAGATCTGGAAAATTGTGTTCCCTAGAGATTTTCTACAGTCTCTTCCATTTGTGTGAAAGGTCAGCATTCCCTGCTGAAGTTGGTAAGTGGCCTTTATCCAGTCTCTTCTCCCCTTTTCCCACTTGGCTTCATGGAATCCTATGGAACTTTATCGGTCTTGGCTGAGGGTCAAGGTTAGCTGACAAAATTCTCAGGGAAAGCCTCCAGTTTCTTTTTGTGTGTCCCCTCCCCGTGTCAGGGTGGCCCAGTGTGGGTCTCAAACCACATCAGGCACTCACATGTAGATACATCGCTGTGTTTCTTTTGTAAACAGTACTTAATAAGGGGGGGGGGATCAGCTCCTAAGTATGGGCTGGGCTTTTCCCCTACCCCCATTGTCGAGCTGGTTTAAATGACCCAGTTGCTTTATTTGAAAGCCATTTATTTAGACGACAGATTATGTAGATGTAACTGGATAAATAAAAAAAGTGAAATCAAGGTTGGAAGCAGTGGTTAGAATACAAACACACGGGGGCCACACCATTGAGCAGTGCCCCCAGACAGAACAATGGCTCAGAAATGACACTTAGAACCCTCCCCTTGCCCCCAAGCAGCTCTAAACTTCAAGGTCCCATGCAAGAAATTGAATTTTGGTTTGGCACCAAGCACCCACGCGGCCCCTGCCTCCTCTCCACCCCTCGACTGTACCCCCAGCGATATTCTGACATTCACGCCTGCCCTGTAGCGTGCAGTCCTCCTCTTCCTTGAAGACAACACTAGAAGCTGTGGGGCGGGGCCCAGCACCAGGGGTGTGGTCCTGCCCAGGTGGGTGCGCTTAGCCCTGCCCCTCCCTGGTTCACCTCCCCCACAACAGAGTAAATGCCAGGCCACCTCCCACTGGCTTGAAAGAAGACAAAGTTGGATGGCGCACTCACTTGTATATGTAAGTGCAAAATTCACCAGGTACAACCGAGACCTCACTGCCTAAGGAGTCTCCATCTCACCTGTTCAGTCCGCTAACATACACCTTCATGAAGTCCAAAATCCCCATAAAATCCTGCGTGTGACATCCCCCCTCTTTAATGGTAAATGTTTTGGAATGTCCATAGATAAGAAAATGGACGGCGTAGAGGAAAGATTTCATGGCCAGGTTCACATTTCACCTCCGGATATCGGAATACTCAGACTGTTCATCCTCCCTCTCGCTGCTTCCCGAAGATCCCTGGGCTCCGGGGCTCCCGGCTCTGGCCCGGGTGTGGGCACTGGGGTGGCTCTTGCTGCCCCACTCGCCCTTCGCTCCTCGGCTGGTCTCCCTACTGCTGGACTCTGCGAAGTGGTGGCCCATTTCCCCGTGGTGGGCCCTGGAGAGCTTGGCTCTGTCTGCTTGTAGCTGGCGTTCAGGGGGCACAGTGGGGGGCCTTTGGATGGCCGAGGTGCAGAAGCTCAAGATGGAGCACAGCCCCCCCCAGTTCTGTTCACACTGAGCCTGGACGCTGTGGGTGATGGCCTCCTTCACTTCCTCCCCACAGGTCAGCAGCAGGTTTACCAGGTCCACGTAGGGCCTGGAAATGGAAAGCAAAGAGAATGAGAGAGGTTGAGTAGGCGGCAAGTCCCCGCTGGCACCATCAAGGGCAGTGATACCACCAGGAAGAAGGAAGCTCCCACTTCCTGGCTTGGATTGGTCAAAGACCTTTCTGGAATTCAAGTCACTACCTATATTCTAAGGAGCCCTGGTGGTGCAGTGCAGAACATAAGCATCCCTCACCTTTGGGTTGGCAGTTCAAATCTACCAGCTGCTCTGTGGGAGAAAGCTGTTAGTCTCTCCTGAAGACTTGCAGCCTCGGAAACCCCAGGGTGAGGAATTGGTTCAACAGCGGTGGGTGATGAGCACACATTTTCTCTGGCATACTGGCTTTCTCCAATGTTTACTGAGTGGCGACCATGCTCTAGGCTGCACAGCGGGCACTGGAGGTAGCTAGAGGCACAGGAAGGCTTCCACTCTCCCAGGAATGGTAGAAAGAGTCCATCACATGGAAAACTATCACAGGGCAACATTTCCCAGTACACATAGATAAGGACTGCTGCTGTTGTGTCCCGTCAAGTCAGAACTGACCCACAGCTGACCCTCCAGAGGGTTTTCCAAAGCAGTGAATCGTATGAGGAGACTGCCCATCTTTCTCCCATGGAACAGTTAGTGGATTCGAACTATGTACCTTTGGGTTGACAGCGCAATGCTTTACCACTAAGCCACCAGAGCTCCCCAGTAAAAGTGTAGGGTCCCAGTATGACAAAATAGGACCTTGGGGGAGGCAAAGAGCCAGAAGGTGAGGCCTCAGGCTAGGGTAGGTTAAAGAGAAAAAAGGAGTTTCTGGTAGCCTAGTGGGGTAGAAGCTGCACTGTCAACTCTAAGGCAGGTGGTTCAAATTCACCATGCTGCTCCATGGGAGAAAGATGGGCAATCTCCTCTTGTGTGATTCACAGCAGGAAAGTCAACCACGGGTTGGTTCCTACTTGGCAGTGAGTCTGAAGAAGAGCGGTAAGGTGGACTGACGTCTGACTGCAATGACAGGCGTTAGCACAGCACAGAGGGTGAGGACCGACAGGGTTTTGTTTCGTCACATACTGTGTCAGAGTCAGCACTGATGGATGGAGGTGGAGGGGTGTCTGGGGACCCATGGAATAGTCCTTAGGCAAAGAGTAGAAAGCTTTCCTTAACAGATAGAGAAGCCTTTCTTCTAGACAAGAAAGAGCAAGCGAGGATTTGCAACTCAGAGAAGGACCCCCAAATGGCAACGGTGAACTCTGTTATTTGCTTGTCTGTGATTTTAGTGAGATCAGCTTGCTTTGCACGATGCACCCCTTGGGCCAAAAGAAACCATCCCTCATATTCAAGTTTGCCACTGGTGCAGGGTGATGGAATAACCACGCCTTGTGGAAGTGAGTAGATGCCCTGCCGTCTTCTCCTTCCCTCTGTATGTGGAGGTGCCTGGAAGCTGCAGAAGGGTGGAAGTGTCTTCTTGGGATGCCATTTCCCAGGGAACGGTTCCTTGCCTTGGGAGAGGCTGAGTATTGGGAGTGGTAGACCAAACTTCATTCTTTGTACTCTCGGGTTTCTCTCAAACAGCAGATGTGGGTTGGTGGTGAGGGACCTACATGCTTAGAATAAGAGATGGGTCTCTATGACAAAGTCAAATGCATCTGGAGGGAAGAGAATTCCCTTGAGTGTGATTCCTGATCACTGGAGGAGGTGTGATTACATCTTGCACCCCCTCCTTGTTCTCAGGGAGGAAGGGTGTGGGGAGAACCGAAGCAATTCTCCGCTGCGTATATTTTTGGGCCCTTCCAGTAAGGCATGTCTCCAGCAATGGGCTCCTATGGTCCACTTACTGCTTTTCTTAATTCTTGTTGGACTTTTAAAAAAGAGGTATGGAAGGCTTCGTGTGGCTCACCAGAATCTTAAACAGCCCTTGACGAGCAAAATTCTATATAAACCATTCACACTGTGGCTCCATACCACCATCTTGGGCAGGGTGATCAGTCTGCAGTGAGGTTATTATAAGAAGGAGCAAACTGCCCCCCTCCCAACCCCCTTGCACCAGCCTCGACCACCTGGCTAGCTGAATTCTAGCCCATTTTATCTTTTCTTTGCAAATTGCCTTTTTTTGGTTTTTGGTCATGCAGAGAGCTTAGGTTATGCTCTAAGGCTTGTAAAGTCCTTTACTGCTCTTTTAAATTATTAGTCCTCAAGTTGTAGCTGGTGATTTATCCTGGTTTCAATGGATGTAAAAACTGAGATAAGGGGAAGGGAATGCGATTTTGGAAAATTTCTGGGCCTAGAATGGCCCAGGGCTGGACTGAGAGCAGAGAGGAGGAATGTTCTGGCTGATACAGATCAAGCTGCCTTTTCAGGACCACTTGATGGTTTTGGAGTCTGAGATTTTGAGTATCTCTAGTGGGCAAGCTGCTTAAACTTTCTAAGGCTGTGCGTTTCCTTGTCTGTAACTGTGACAAGGAAGATGACAATACCTGCCTTTTGGGACAACCACAAGGAAATAATCCTAGGCAAATGCTCAATACCTGCTTGTTTCCTTCCTTCCCCCCGCCCAGGACGGTGCTCAGAGAGAGAGAGAGAGAGAGATCAGCTGGCCCAGTGGACAGAAGGCGATGTCACCAAGCCAAAGTTGGGTGACTTTTAATCTGCAGCCCTTGGGCCTGTCTTTCATTGTTTTTGTTCAGACATTCCTCTAGGTCATATTGCCCTGGTGTACAAGTTGCCGTACAGCAGACACTTGTGGTTGCTGTGAGGCTGAACACTGTGACACTGATGTGTCAAGTGTGTTAATGACTGGTTACCCAATACGGACAGAGAATGGGGTGGAGCTCCCCGAATAAAACAAGCTTGGAAGGAGGAGTGGCATCCACTTCCATAATAGCTTGCCTCCGAAAACCCTATGAACCTGGAGAGAGAATGACAGACACCCAAGCCTTGAGGACTCTCCTTCATAGGGTCGCTATGAGTCGCCTGCGACTCGATGACAATAACAACACAACAGGATGGTGCTAAAGGTTAACATGTTGAGCTGCTCACTGAAATGTGGAAGGCTCAAGTGCATCGTAAGAAAGGCGTGGCAATCTGCTTCTGAACTCCAGCCCTTAAAAACCCTACAGAGCACAGTTCTAACCTGACACATACGAAGTTGCCATGAGTAAGACTTGACTGCAACTGGTTATCTGCCGAAGCAACCACAGGATTTCATGACCTAGGTCTTTGTACCTCCCACTCCCCAGAGCGAGAAAATGGACGTGATGGGGTCTGTAAGGTTCTACTGTCAAGGTTGTTTCCCCTGAGTGAAGGGTGGGCTCTTACTTGGGAATTTATAGACTGCCTCTTGGCCTCGTGTGCTAGGGCATTCATCCAAGTAAAGAGCTCTCAGCACCCCAAAGCTGACCTGCGAAGTCTGGTGGCCCTAACTCTCCTCTGCCCTTGACCTGCTCTCCAAGGCGAAAGCCGTGTGCTGGCGGGAGTGTCTGTGTGTGAGCAAAACCTAACTAATCTAAACCGTGTTCTGAGCTGGCCTGGTGCCTTCTCAGGCTGCAAGCTCAGCCTGTGTCTAATGACAAAGCCCAGCTCTCTCTGGGTGTCAGCAAGGCTAAAGGATTTTAAAAATACTTGGAGGGGGGCGTGCCTGGAGGCTCAGTCTATTGATGGCTGCCAGAACACAGTGATAATGTGTTGGTGGCCACTAGGGCTGGGTGCAGCCGGGGGAGCAGATGATAGGTTGAAAAGGGAATGGTGGGGGATATGGGGAGCAGAGGGAATGAAATGTTTGAAAATAACCACGTTAACAGACCATGTTCTGGGTCGAGTGGGGATTGGGTTGAGGTACAGCCATAGTGTGGACTTGGGGGTGACTGTAACATACTTTTTTCTATAATGAGAAGCAAATTTGGTTCTCTTTTTCCTGTCTGTGACCAATAACCACACATTCCTAAGCAACTGTCTTGATATTTGGAGACTGGAAGAATTTGCTGTGTCAAAATCAGTTAAGATGGTTCAAACAACAGCAAGTAAAGGCAAATAGGCTTGAAGGTCAAGTTGATGTACTACCTGAATCATAGCTTCAGCAGGGAAGACAATGGGGACTTGGGGAAGCCAGAGCTAGGGAGAGACTGGGTGATGAAGATGGTTTATGTGCTTGGCTGCTGAGAGGTTTGCAAGAGAGGTTAGGTTCAAGTCCACCCAGCGGTACAGAGGAAGAAAGGCATGGAGATCTACTGCCGAAAAAATGAAGGACAGTTCTGCTGTGACACACAAGGGGGTGCTGTGAGCCAGACTTGACTCCTTGGGAGCTGTTTTCCTGGCTGGGTTAAGGGGGGACCCACTGAAGTGCTGGCTTAGGCAGAAAGCAAGAAGCCTTGTATGAGGTCACAGGAAGTGTTTTAAAAGGAGGCCCAAGTTTCTTAGCAGAGTGGCCTTCCTTCATTCTCAGAGCAGGCTGGAGAAGGGGCACCAAGGTGTAACCGAAACGAAGCAAAGCACCCTTCGGAAGTACAGGTCCCATGGTCCTGAGGGTCACGTTTCCATGAGATACTAAAAAGCCTTCTTATGTTCTTGAACTCAAGGCCACTGAGTGAGAACTGACTCATAACTGACCCTCCCCTGGGTTTCCAAGGCTATCAATTAATTGCACGAGAGGAGACTGACCATCTTTCTCCTGTGGAGTGGCTGGTGGACGGACTTCACTGCTAGAGAAGGGGACCTTTGGGCCAGCAGCACAACTCCCTTCAGACTGAGGGGACCAAAAAACTGCCAAAGAGTCAACATTTTCTTAAACTCCAGGAATGTATTATAACTCACAAATGAACATCCTAGCCTCTATCCTTGAGGCTATCAGAGTATCTTTAATGAATGACAACTGGCCCAGGGAGACTGAGCTCCATGGAGTTTCTCATTTATGGAGTGTTTGGCTCTTTTCTTACTTACACATTTGGTAGAATAACCCTTCATTCTAAGGGGACACCTTGAAGAAGGGGAATTTCAGTGCTATCTTTGTAAGGAACCCCTCAATCAGGTGGATTGACACAGTGATTGCTATAATGGGCTCTGTGTGTCAGGAAGTGTGAGGATGGCACAGGATAGGACAGGGTTCAGATCTGTGGTTCACGGGGATGGCACCCTAACAACATCTTTGTGCAGGAGCCCCTAAGTGGTAAAAATTGGCTCCTAATCAAAAGGTTGAGGGTTTGAGACTATCCCGAGGCACTATGGAAGTAGTCCTGGTGAACTTCTGAAAAATCAGCCCTTGAAAACTACAGAATATAGTTCTACTCTGACACATATGGGGTTGATATGAGTTAGAGTCAACTCAAAGTACAAGTTACTTGTACTTCTTGTACAATGGGGACATAGTAGAAGAAAAAAACCCCACCTTTTTTAAAAAGCACCATACTTAGGGAGCATGAGTCTTTGGCATGAGCAAGGAGATTTGAGGTACGTTTCTGACAAGTGGCTTTAGATATAATGTAATATATATATATATATATAAATTATTGTTGTTATGTACTGTTGAGTTAGCACCAACCCATAGCTGACACTCCAGTGGGTTTTCAGAGGCTATAAATTGCACAAGAGGAGATTTCCCATCTTTGCATGAAGTGGCTGATGTATTTGAACAGCATGCCTTTGAGTTGGCAGTGCAACTCCTTACCACTAAGCCACCAGGGCTCCATATCTACTGTCTATCTATATATTTCACATTGGGTTCAGTTAAGTATAGATATTTCACCAATTCTAAGCTGAAAAGTATAAATCAAATCCCAGAATAATTATTTAAGCGCTCAGCATAAATTTTCTCATTGGCTAAATGGAAAAAGTGGTTTCTATCTTGTAACACTGTTGGGAAGGTTTATAAAAAGCTCTTGACCAAGGGCCTACTAAAAAGTGGTCAATCACTTATTCTCATAGATGACCCTCCAGTCAGTTCTCAGAGGCTATAAATAGTACCAGAGGAGATTATCCATCATTCTACTGAGGAGCAACTGGTGGACTTGAACGGTCTGCCTTTGGTTTGACAACACAACCCCTTACCATTTTGTCACCAGAACTCTCTTCAAAAGTGGCAGCTATTATTATTATTGCTGATGTTGTTAGTTCCTATTACTACTTGATAGGCATTTAGAAGAACAATATTTTATAAGGTATCGGTGTACTTTAAAGAAAAGGTAACATTATTTTGGTTTTGGCATGAGTCTTCCAGTAAATCTTACAACTCTAACACTGAACCAGCAGTGCTGCAAGGTACTTAGAAACGCACAACCAAATGGAAATTAACATATGATAGCTCTTGCCTTCCATGGTCTGAGTGGTGGTGGTGTGATGGGATGTCACCTGTTTAGTGATACAACTGAAAGAAGGTCATGGCACACACTAAGGAGCAAAGTTAATCAAACTGTACTGATCTGGCCTAAAACAACATGACAGAAAAGCAAATGATGGCACCACACTGGCAGTGATTTGCTTAGTTACATGTTTCTTCCTCCCTCTGTCTCCAGGGACAGAGCCATCATAATATTTTCAGGCTACAGGCCATGCCTATTATTAGGAGTAAGTGGATATCAATATGATTTACCAAAATTTAGAGCTTGCATAATGAGTTAGGTGTTTAAGGAAAGATCATAAAGTTGGCTGGTCTGAAATCACTCAGAGGGACCTTGGTGACTGACTTCTGAAAGGTTTCAGCCTTGACCAAACCTAGGAAGTACAGGTGTACTCTGCCTGCTTTAGGGTCCCATGAGTTGGAATCGACTACTTGGTAAATGATTTGGTTTATGTATTTTTTTAAAAAAATAGAATATTTCAAAAATAATTTTAAGGAATTATATGTCCTTATCATTGACTTTCAAGTAAGATTAGGTCTTTTTTTTCCAGTGTGGCATAAAGTTAAGGTGTTTCCTCTGGGAAGGCACTGGTGTCTTAGATGAGGGGAACTGAAGCTTCTAAAGGCAGGAGTCCCTAGGCGGTGCAAACGGTTCATGTGCACAGCTCCTAACAGAAAAGTCAGACGTTTGGGTTCACCCGGAGGCATTTTGGAAGGAAGGCCGAGTAATATATTACTAGCTCTACAAAGAATATATTATTAGCTCTACACAGATACATACAGGGTCACCATGAGTGAGACTGAACTTGGTGACATCGATTTTGTTTTTAAGGTATGGAGTTTATGAAGGCAGTGAAAACAAACTAAAACAAATGCAAAACTATGGCTCTTCTTGTGTATCATCAAGTCAGAATTTACTCATAGCTGACCCTCTCGTGAATGTTCAGAGGTAGTAAAATATGAGGAGGCTGCCCATCTTTCTCCTACAGAACAGCTGGTAGATTCAAACCACATGCCTTTGAGTTGACAGTACAACTTCTTACCACTAGGCCACCAGCACTCCTTTGGGCTCTTATTGTTTGTTATGTACCTTTGAGTTGACTACAACTCATAGCCACCCTATAAATGCTGGCTCTGAACCTTGCTCTACCTTGAGCCAACCTCACTATCTCTGATGCCTTTTTCCCCTTTGCCACAGTCACTGTGTCAATCCATTTCATCCAGGGGCTTTCTCCTATTATTTAAGAGTTTAGATCATGGAACCAAACTTCTTTGGCTTTGCTTCTCACTAGCTGTGTGAGTTAGTTGACTGATGTGCACAATGGAGATGTTAACATTACTTACTCACAGAGCTGTGGTGTGGACCAGATGAAGATTCTCTAAGTATCCTCTAGCATAGTGTCTGCTCAGTGCATGCTATCAGCAATTGGCCTCCTCAAGGACATCTTTACAGCTATTTGGATATTGAAAACTACTGTGTTCCTGACTGAGAGGAAGAGGAAAAGGTTTTCCAAACCTTACCATTTGGTTTTAAAACCTTTTTCTCAATTAAGATTTGAATGTGATAGTGGCATTCTTTTCCACTTTTCCTAAAAGCCACCAGGAAAGGGGTCACTCAGAGCCAGGGCAACTTTCCAAGGTAAAAATGCCTCACTTTGGAGGCAAATTCAGACTCTCAAACGGAATGAAATGCCCCTCAGACTTCAGGACACCACCCGCTTTTCTTTAACCTGTAAGGGGCCTTGATCCCCTGGCTTGCCTCAGAGCAGTACTCACTCTTGCAGCAGTAAATCCTTGAAGTGGATCATCTCCACCATCACCTGGATGTTTTCCTGGGCTGCAGAGCACAGGTCGTGCTTGAGGTAGCATTCTCTCTGCAACTGGAACACCATTTCCCTGATGGCAGGGCACTTGCGGCTTATGCAGCTAAACCTATGCCTCAGCGCATGGGCCTTACACTTCAGGGCATCTTTGATGAACGACTTGCCCTGAGAAGAGAGATGGCAGAAAAGAGGTGTCTTTGTTACAAGCTTGGACATTAACCCTTCTTGGGGGTTACAAGAAAATTTTCTGGACAACTGAGAACCGAGACTTCACCTTAGACTAAAGCTTTTCCAGGTAACAGGGCGAGGCATGAGTGACATGAGACCTCCAGCATTTGGCTAAAACGGATGTTGCTGCTGGACACTGACAACTCTGCCCCCTTCCCTTGCCAGCTGCACCGCCCGACCCCGTCCTGGGGCTTGGCCGGCGGTCTGTTCTCCAGGCAGCGCCTCCTAGATCGCTTGGTGGGAACTTCTCCAGAATGCAAGCAGCATCTGCCTAAATCTACAACTGCTTCTTGGATCCCGGCAATCTCTTTATTTCTTTATTTTTTTCCCAAACAGAAAGTGCTGATTTGCCCAAATTTCACGCCTTTGCTTTTCCCTTTGAATCCGTGAGCAGCAGTCAAGACGGGGTACCTCCCCTTCCTGCCTCAGTGCCTCCCATCACCCCAAACCCACACCCCATTTCCGCCTGTCCTTTAAAGAAGCGCATTCTTTTTCCTTTTTAAATCACGATTTGACTCCTTTAAACGGTGAGGATTATTGTCTCTAAAAGGCTGGGCTGGCACACGGCCTGGCAGCATCTGGAGTCTGGGCTGCCCGGGCAGCGGCCCCTCCCCCGCGCCCTGCCTGGAGTGGCGAAGGCGGCCAGGCATACATCTGGCCTACAGCGCTCTTTCCTGGCAGCCTCACGAGTGTATAATCTTATCCTAGAAAGGAGACAGCTGTTGGGGGTGTGGAGGCGCGTCAGGGCCATTAGCTCCCTTATCAACCTTGCAAGGCAGAGAGGATTGTGGGATAGCGACCCGGGGCGTCCTCTCACCCTCCATCACTATAGAAACGAGCTGTGCTTGGGGAGGGCGCCCCTCGGCTTTTAGACAGGCCAGAAGTAACCGAGTTGAGAAAGTAAACGAGTTTAGATTGGAAGTGGGAAGCCACTCAGCACATTTATTTTGGTTCTCTCTTTAGAAAAGAATTGAGATAGTGTCTAGTCACAGAAAAACCACGTGGCCCACCCACCTCCCAAGCAGCCCTCTTTTAACTTACAGTGACTGTGAAACAGAATGGAGGGCAGAGTGTCCATTTGTTAAGTATTTATGAGCTGAGTCAATCAGAAAGAGATGCTTTAAACTTAACATATCCTTGCTGATTGAGAAGGAAGACCCCCCTCCACACACACACACACACACACACACACACACACACACACCCCACACACATACCCAGCCAGGGAGATGAGAGTATCAGAGGATATAGCAATCTGCTCTCTGTATACCTTGACCTCTTGTGGGATTACCCTCAAATACATATTTTGTCTCTGAATTTCCTATTCACTTCTTAATTCTAATTAATACCAAAATGATGCTTTTATTAGGGTGACAGGTGGAAGGATCCTCAAATAGTTTGAAAGTCCTACTTCCGCCATTAGGCTGGGAGCCCCTGGCATCCCATTCTGGTTATCAAGCATTGCTTTTTCTTCTATAGTGTGTCACTGATGAGCAGGGCCTTAGGTATTAGACTGCTAAGGAATTCAGCAGCCAGTCCTAGGGAGAAAGATGAGGCAGTTTGCCTCTGTTAAGATTCGTTGTTATGTACCATTAGGTGGGAAGCAACTCGTAGCTGACCTGCTAGCTGGTTTTCAGAGGCAGTAAATGACACAGGAAGAGGCTGCTCATTTTTCTCCCACAGAGGAGGTGGTGGATTGGAACTGGGTACCTTTGGATTGGCAGTGCAACTCCTTACCACTAAACCACCAAAATCAGCTTGGAACTCCGATGAGGAGGGCCATTATGAATTGGAATTAACAGCAGTGGGTTTGGCTTTGTTATAGGATGTCAATATATGCCGGCCGGTGACTTTCATGACTCACATCTCAACTGTAAGCCTCATCCATGTGTTGTCATCCCTCTCCTATGACCTGGAGGAGGAAGAAGAGGATGCTCCAACAGTGGAGTTCCTACATGGTACAAATAGTCAAGCTGCTAAGCAAAAGGTTTGAGTCAACTCAGAAGACAGGCCTGGCAATACTTCTGAAAAATCAGCCTTTGAAAACTATATGGAACACAGTTTACTCTGACACATGTAGGGGCACCATGAGTTGGAGGTGGCAATGGCAATGGTAACTTGTGGTGGCGTCAACAGTGCACATAAGGGCTAGAGAGAAAACAACAAAGGCTGGTCCAATGCCATCTCCAAGTACATTTGGACCACCAGCACTGGAATCAGAAGGTAGCTTGTTTTCTTTTCCCGAGGCCTGAGTGGCCAATTGGCTTTACCCTTGGGATCCTGAGAAAAGGGAAGTGGGTCAGTTCCTGCCTATATTTATTATACAGAGTAAAAGAAAAATGCAGAATTGAGGGACTCACTCAGGGTTTTGGATTTTCAGATTGGGAGAGGAGGGTCTGCAACTTTCCAAAATGTACTGTTGTCAAGTCTGTCCTGACTCATAGAAACCCTGGAAGGTAGAGTGCTCCAGAGGGTTTCTGAGACTATGCATCTTTATACGAGCAGACAGCTACATCCTTTTCCCAATGAGCTGGTGGGCTCAAAATGTAGACCTTTCTGTTATCATCCCACTGCTTAACCCACTGTACCAGTAGGACTCTGATCTGTTACTTAGGAGGAATATTAATCAAGGGAGTTTAATTTATCTAGGTTACTTGCCCATTACTGAGGAGTAATGATGTTAGTCTGAGGACTAAGGTGTGCCTGATTCAGACCATGGTCTTTTCAATCACTTGTTATGCTGCTGAGAGCTAGATAATGAATATAACAGAAGAAAAATTGATGCATTTGAATTGTGATATTGGAGTTCTGAATAAATCCCATGAACTGCCAAAAAACCAGATATGTCTTAGAGTAAATACAGCCAGAGTGCTCTTTGGATGCAAAGATGACAAAATTTCATTTCATATACCTTAAGCATGTAGTTAGGAGAGGGAGGCTGTTCCTTGGAGAGGGTCATCATGCTTGAAAATGTGGAGTGTTGGCAAAAGAGAAGAAGACCCTCAACCAAATAGTTAAATATACTGACTACTGCAGTGGACTCTCAAATATGTCAGACATGGTGAGGATGCCACAGGAGAGGACAGGGTTCAGATCTGTTGTTCATAGGATCACTATGAGTCATACTCAACTCAAGGGCACCTAGCAATAGCAATAAAACCTTCCCATTGGAGGCAATTTCCAAAAAAATTATGTCTCACTCACTTGTCTCTATAAAGTGAAAGTAATTTTTGGAATGTATAATTGGAGTTTCTATTGCCTTCTCTAGTCTACTATTCCCAATATGATAGGCCTGGAAAATGGGTTCTGGGAAGTTATAGAAGGCATTTATCATTATTTTTGTGGTCTCTGCTGAAATTTCTAAGTAATCATTTAACTTATTCTCCATCCTCTTTGCTGTGTAGACATGACACAAAAGTGTAGAAAGATTTAGGCAGTTCTAAAGAGCAGAGTGTAAGTGCAGCTCCAGAGAGCAAAGCATAAATGCAGTGGAGGGGAGGCCACACTGGTTCTGTTATGCACTGAGAATGACTTTTGCAAGTGATAATACCCTACAAAACAGCTAAGGCAATCTGCTAGCAAGGTTTCCCCAATGAACATCTCTGGCATGCTATGCCCACCTAAAACGTCCTTCGTGCTCTTTATGGTTTTTACCTGGGCATCAAATTTTCCAGCGTTGTGAAGAAAAGTCATGCAAATTCCATGTAAGCCCCGGATCTCACAGGAGTTGTTCTCAAAACATTCAAACACGCCACATCCCACATCACCTGCGGTGACCAAACAGTGCTGGATTTCTGCTACAATGAGAATGACATAGAAATATAATCCATGCTTGACAATGTAGAGAGGTAGACAGACATAAAAGTTAGTGAGGACTATTCCAGGATTAAAAATGATGAGGAAGCAAAATGGCACCTACTCTTGAAAAACACTAGTATTTTTATTTTTATATCAAACTGTCACCATGAAAGTCACAATTGGTTTGAGCTGTCTATCCCCCCCCCCCATTTTGCTGTAGTATGTGTGTGCATACTTAGAGAGCAGAAAACATTTCGGTTTTTCAAACAGAGGACACAAATAAGATTTTGAATTCTCAACTTGCTCCCTTCCTCCTGTCCAACAGTCTGTCAATGAAATTGCTTTCTCTATTTGGTTCTGTAGACACTGGTGCTATTGAATCACAGCCATTTCCTCCCTGACCCCCAAATGAGACCATCCAAAAAGGCAGTTTCAATTCAATTTTATGATTCAACACCTAAGAATCAAAACAAAATTCCTATTAAGGCAGCGCCTCCAAACCATCCGCATTAAAAATACCACGCTAGTGAAGCTGCGGTTTGAGAGCAGCTCAGGATGGGGGGCAGCCTTGAGAAACGCCACCGTCTCAGGCAGCGGCGCCTTTTAATTGATGATCCGGTGTGAGAAGGCATTTAATTCTCAGAAGCCCCATGGATTGGGCATTTATACCCCTCCCCCCCTCTCAGGATGTGGCCCTAATTCTACTCTCGGAAAGGGCAGCCAGAGGGAGTTAACTGCCAGGCTGCATGTGCAGCTCTTCCCTGTCTCCACTACCCAATTCTCTGATTTAAACCAACCTCAAAATTACATCAGAAAAGTGTATTTTGGAAGAAGGGTGGGGTCAGAGTAGATAATCTGCATTCAGATTAAATCTAGCTAGAGAACCGAGAGGTAGGCATTTGTGGAGGGTCACCAGTTACGGAGAATCTAGTTCCGTTTCGTTCCCGAGCAAGAGCTGGAGAGGGGAAGGGTGCTCACACGAGAAGGCACCGGCTCTGGGGTGCTGGCACCAGCACGTGGAGGTGGGAGGCTCCCGGCTGACCCCACAGGCGGCCCCAGTGTGCCAGGCAGGATCGTGCAGGCCAGCAAGACACTCACTCGCCGCGTCCCTAATGGGCACGAGTGCATTACTGCACTTTTGGGGAGCGTGCGCCGCTGCCGCGTTCGCACGCCCCCCCATCCCCCAAGGTTTGGAGAGGGTCGCAGAAAACAAGCGCTGGAAGCACATTTGCTTTCTTGGTCCTCAGCCGGGAGAAGGTCCACTCGAGTGTGTAGCACGCCTGGCTTTGCTCCGCAGCGTGCAGGGTACAGGAGAGCTGGCTGAGCAGCAGCGGCACACCGTAGGAGTCGTGTGACCATTTCTTGGCTTGCTGACCTACCCAGGAGCGCAGAGAGCGTGGCAGAGGTACGCTTTCCCCCGTTTCAAAGGCAATGTCCCCAGGGGAAAAGTGCTTCCTGCCGTTTGCCTCACCAGTCAGCAAAGTTCTCAACTATCTGGCATCTTAGGAGGAGGGGCAAGACGAGGTCCTACCGAGGCTGGTAGACTGAGAAGTTTTCTGGGTGCAGGGCGCGGCCGGCTAGGAAGACCTTCCATCCCTCCCACACGCGGGCCGGGGTGCAACCGCACGTTATGCATCGGGCCCAGGACTCTGGCCGGCCGCTGGCAGCGTCCGGCGCTGCCTCATTTCCCCTCAAACCTGAGAAGGACAGCAACAAGTCCGGCTCCAGCCATTTCATCACCCTGACAGCACGTGCAGATTCCAGGCGCGCGGAGCCGGGCACAGACTTCATCTCCCCTCCCCTAGCGCTCTCGCTTTGCATGTTTCGCACCACCCTAAGAGTTTGTCCAGTCCCAGGTGGTTGCTGGACTCCAGGCGAAGTGCCCGGGCACACTGCGTGGGTGCAGAGTGTCCTCTCCCAGCAGCTCCCGGCGCACACACTTACCTGTGTTCTGCAGGGACAGGCGGCCTTTCTGTTGGGAGCCCCTGTCTTGGGAGCCCTCAGGCGGGTTGGTAGCGTCTGTCCCCTGCGCCGGGTCAAAGGTGGCCAACACTAAAGCCAGAGTCATGAACTGGCTCAACCTCTCGGCACACATGGTTTTTGGTATAATCCTCCCTCCGGGAGACCTGTATTCTTTGTGCTCTGCTCCTCTTCCTCCTCCTTCTTCGCTTCCCCTTCTCCTCCCACTCTTCTTCCTTCAAGCCTTTTCCCTCCTCCTCGGGGCCGCAGCTTGGATAGAGGTTACCCAGCGCCCTCCCGTAGCTCTCTAGAGAGCATGTGACCAGGCCGTTAGCAGCGCCGAGAGTGCCTGGCAATGCAGGGATGGTGCCTCAAATATCCCTGGAAGCTCTGGTGTCACTTGAATGAAGGAGTCGAGCAGGTGTTGTCCTGGCTTCTGGACCAATCCGAGACCCCAGCCCGTTTGACAACACGACTGGGAGGCGGGGCCTGCGCCCAACTACTACTGGAGGAAGCTGATCGCTGCTGGGAGCGCCCCACAAACTTGCCGACCTGGAGGTGGCTTTGCATTTGCGTGCGTGTGTGTGAGGGTGCATGAGCGCGGCCAGAGATGCGTGCGCGTGTGCGGGCGCTCCAGGGCAATGGCCGACAAACTCAAAACAGATAAAAGCGAGTCTTAGTTCTGATTGCAGCTCAAGAGAGGGCACGAATTGAGCTGGGACAGTCTTCCCACTCTCCCAACCCCCACCCCCAATCCAGGGTCTGAGGCTCACATCACACACTCACCAGGCTGGGAAAGTTTCCTCTTCCCGCCTTTTAGAATTCAAGAGATATCCAACGCCAAGCCTCGGACAGATTGAAAGAGTTATACTGGGTATGGAGGTGCCCAGGGGCTGACTGACCACATATGGAAATTCCTAACTAATTTCACTTTGAATTAAAAACAAACAAAAAAAGAAATCCATTAGGAAAAATTGTTGAAAGCAGAAGCACAAGATCTAGGAATTGGCTGGTCCTTTTCTCCCTTCATTTGGTGGCCATCCTCTCCGCGGGCCGTGTAGCACATGCAGTGTCAGTTTCTCGCCCCTCCCCCCCAGTCCGGGATTCGGGGCTGGGCTGCGTGATCCAGGTGACAGTCTGGACTTGCATCATTTCCAGGCGGTGGCAAGGAGGCCTGGGCAGCCCTGAGTCAGCCAGCCGCGGAGCATCGCGTGCCTTGGGGGCCGGAGCTTGAAAGGCAACTTTACGCGTCTCCAAACACGCTCTTCCATTTTCCCAAAGCGCTACTAGCCCTCCCGCTCCAGGTCCCTTTTACATTCCTGACATCAGATGGAAATGGTTTTAAAATAACAACTCCCAAATAAAGAACAAAACAAGCCCAAAGAAATGCTCTCTTCATTTCTCCCCCCTCCAGGAGCTTGCCCCCTCCCCACGCCGGCTCGGGCTAGTTCCTCGGGCGGCGGAAGCCTGGAGAAAGTTGGGAGCCGCTCGGAGCGCTCTTCCCCCACTGTGTGTGTACGTGTGCACGCTCACGTCTCCCCCGCGCCCAGGCAGGGACAGGAACTGCTCCCGGCATCGTCAGCCCGACGGCGCATCTCGGGGGCTCGCGGGCAGGGATGCGAGGGCGGCTGCAGGGCGCCCCCTGCCACTCCCCCTCGCCTGATGCATCCTCGCCCCTCCCCCGCCATCCCCACTCCTCCGGGAGAACAGGTGAGCCGGGGTACCAGCCTCCCCCCACATCCCGCCTCTCTCCCGGCTTTCTTTCGCGGACTGCGGTAATGCGCCGGAAAGGTTTCATCACCCAGTGCCGGAGGCGGCCCTGGGTCTCCGCTGCGGGGCGCACTGCCGGCCTCCACCAGGCCTCCCTGTGACACGGCTGGGGGAGGGGATGTGGAGCTGCGGGGGCAGGTCATCCTTGGGCCACCTCCCGGCTTCCGAAGCTTCTGTCCCTGGGTCTCCGAGTTACTCGGCTGGGCATGGGGAAAGTAGAGGCAAGGGCCAGGGCGGCCGTCGCTGGCTGCAGCTGTCCAGTGAATTCAATGACTTTGGGGCAAGAGAAAGGAGAAGGGATGGGGCTCGCGCCATTGGAATGGGTTCTTGAGCCCCGGAGGTTCATGCCCACCGTTCCCACCCGACTGTACAAGCCCCAATAAATGGTCACGTTGACGATTCGAGTCTGCACCGGCAGCAACCGAGAGATCATTCAGGCCTATGATTCCAATAGCAATTACTTCCAGAAGCCTCAGATCTTTTGTGAAAGAAGGTGGGGATGCAAGTACATTAAAATGGGTAGCTCGCATTCCCCATTCCTCATTTGTTTGCATAGTTTAACATAGCTTCCTTTATTAGTTTATGAAAAACCACCTCCTGCAGACCTGAAAAAAAAAAAAAAAGGCAACAGCATCCTGGCTTCTCACCAACTCCTTAAGCCCCTGAATTTCCTGCGGCCAGATGGCCATTTGGTTTCACTTCTGCTTTGTAGGTATAGCGGGGTAGGCTTTCTTTCCAAAATGGCTCTTGTAGGTTAGAATATGAGCAATAGTGGAATGAAAAGGGTATCTGGTCACCTGGTTCTTGAGCAACAGAAATAGAAGAGCTGGATGGGGGAAGGAACAGGCTATGTTTGCAGATGCTGAGCTTCTCCAGGGTTCAAGACTCCAAAGGCTATCAGGCCACTTGGAGCAGAGGCCAGGCAGGTGGAGGGTCTGATCTCCTGGGTCTTCTGCTCCTGCATTGGCTTTGCCAGGCACTGCCCTTTGTGACCATGATGCTCAGGAGGTGGCTTTTGGAGGACCTGGTGGTAACTAAGTGAAGGAGGCATTGCACTGCCAAACAAAAGGCGAACAATCAGAATCCACCAGCTGCTCTGTGGGGGGAAAAAATGGGCAATATCCTGCCATGCGATTTACAGCCTCTGAAAACCTGCTAGACGGTCAGCTATGAGTTAGTTCCCACTCATAACAATAGCAATCACCTACCTAATTTAAAAGTTCAACTTGAGGATATTTGCTCCAGGGCCCTCTGGGGAACATTTTTGGCTTTCATCTGAGCTAATAGCCCCATTGGAATGAAAAGAAAATTTAGTTTTGGGCACTCAGGTATTAATTCTGTATTAATTTTGTAAGGTGTTTCTATCTAGACCCTCCTAGCTAGAACAACCACATCCAGACACAAAAAGCCTGTTCATCCCACTAGAGCTATGCAAATTCTTTTGGAGACTCAATGACTCGTTTGCATGGGACACTCTCACAGGCTACAGGGCCTGGTCGGGGCAGACTTGGGAGGAAGTGGGTCTCAGTCTGGCCACTTGGTTCCCTGAGGAGACTCCTCTTCATGCTGATTTCATGAAACACTAAAACTCAGGCCTGATTTGGCAGAATGTGGCTGATAAGAGTAAAGGATAGAATGGAAGCAGGAATAATAATAATAATAATAACAACAACAACAACAATAACAACAATTATTATGGAGTATACAGTCACTGTACCAGAAGGAATTGGCCAACACAGAAGAATTTCATGAAATAATGTATGAGCAACAGCCTATGGTGATGAGGGAGGAAGTTCAAGCTTCTCTGACAGAATTGGCAAAAAACAAGGCTCCAGGAGTTGACTGCATACCAACTGACATATTTCAACAAACAGACACTGCCCTGGATGTGCTCACTAAGTTGTGCCAATAAATCTGGAGGACAGCCAGCTGGCCAACTGACTGGAAGAGATTTATATTTGTTCCCATTCCAAAGAAAGGTGACTTGACAGAGTGTGGAAATTATTGAACAATATCATTAATATCGCTTGCAAGCAAGATTCTGCTGAAAATTATCCAGAAATGACTGGAGCAACACATCAACAGAGAACTTCCAGATGTGCAGGCTGGATTTAGAAGACATCATGGTACTAGGGATATTATAGCTAGTGTTAGATGGATCTTGGCAGAAAGCAGATAGTACCAGAGGAATGTCTATCTGTGCTTCATTGATGATGCAAAGACTTTTGACTGTGTGGATCACAAGTTGTGGCCAACTAAGAGAAGAATGGGAATCCCAGAACCTTTGATTGTGCTTATGTGAAACCTATACTTGGACCAAGAGGATGTCATCAGAGCAGAGAAAGTAGACACTGCATGGTTCAAAATTGGGAAGGTAGTCAGGGATGTATTCTGTCCCCATACTTTTTCAATCTTTATGTAAAACAGGTAGTTCGGGATGCTGGGCCTTACAAAGAGGAATGTGGCATCAGGATTGGTGGAAGAGTCATCAACAACCTGCGTTATGCAGAACCCTGCTTACTGAAATTGAGGAGACCTGAAGCGCTTGCTGCAGAAAGTCAAGGACTGCACCCTTCAATATGGATTGAGGCTCAACATCAAGAAAACAAAGATCCTCACCCCTGGGCCGATTGGCAACATCATGATAGATGGTGAAGAGATTGAGATAGTTAACAGTTTTAGTTTGATTGGCTCCATAGTCAACATTCTTGGTACCAGCAGCCAAGAAATCAAGAGACGAATTGCGTTGGGAAAGTCAGCTGTCACCTCTCCAAAGTACTGAAGAGCAACGATGTCAGGCTGGAGACTAAGGTGAGCCTGATCAGGGCTATAGTCTTCGCAGTTGAGGGCTATGCATCAGAGAGTTGGACAGTGACTAGGGAGGATAGAAAGAGAATTGATGCCTTTGAGCTGTAGTGCTGGAGAAGAGTGTTGAATATACCATGGACTGCTAGGACAACAGTCAGGTTTGTCCTGGCGAGATTGAAGCCGGGCTGCTCCTTGGAACCAAGGATTCTGAAGCTTTGTATGACATACTTTGGGCATGTTGCAAGGAGGAGCCAGTTCTTGGAGAGGGACGTCATGTTTGGGAGGGTGGAGGGACAGAGCGGGAGGGGAAGACCCTCGAAGAGATGGATTGATTCAGTGATTGGGGTAGTGGGAGTAGGTGCGTTGAAGACAATGAGGTTGGTACAGGATAGAGCAGGGTTTAGGTGTCTTGTACATAGGATTGCTATGAGTCGCAAGCGACTTGACGGCACATAAAAACAACAACAGCAACAATTATTATAAAGCTAACATGAACTGGGGACAGTAATAGTTCAGTGGTGGAATTCTTTTCTCTCCTTGGGAAGAAGACACAGCTGA